CCTCGCGGGATCTTGGACACACCCGCGCCCAACATGAGTTTTAAGCCACCGGGTCTGGGACGCGAACCACGGTCGACTACGTGGGAGTCCAGCGACATAGCCAATACGCTAACTGCTGGTCCCTATATTGAGGTTTTTAATAACGTGAAAGCAATTTTCAGTAGGTAGTTTCTAGTAAGTAGGAGGATAGAAGAACTTAGCCATCAACTAAAGTATTTTAAGGGGGATTATGAATTGTTCATCATTAAATCAACTTTTTATGTTCGAAGGTGACATTTATATAGATATTATTTTACTAAAGTTTGTAGGTTTTACTTCTGAATATTTTTAACTTCCTTACATCCTAAAAGCAAGGTGTATAGAATATCTACATTTCAACATACAGGTTAATAGACAGAGGGATTGGAAGGAGGTATGGTGGTTTGGGTGCTGGACTCCCACTTGGCCAACTGTGGTTTGAGTCCTGGACCTGGCAGATTGCTTTCATATTTTTCTGTTAATTTCTCTCTCTGTCTTTCTCTGTTCAAATGAAAGAAAATAATGATAGTGAATAAAATAAAATAAATAATTCTTAAAAAAAAATAGACAGTTCTTTAAGGGGTAGAAAAAGGGAGAAGAGAATGAAATTGTGGAATTTAACACCTTCATCCACAAGATATCTTTCATACTGATGCTCTGATGGGTAGCTCTGTGGACACAGACTTACTTACAGTGTCAGTTAAATATCATGCATTACAAGTTAGACATCTTTTTAAGGAATGCTTATGATCCGAAAAAGTTTCTTTTTTAGAGTTTATGGTTTTGTTTTTTGAAGTTGCAGAGGTCACTGAAGTGGTTTAATATTCTTAGAATATTAAATCAGTAGAGATAGCAGTAGAAATATTAAACTCCAGATATAGGCATGCATATGCATACACATGCACCTGGTGTGTTTTTCAAGCCTCTGAAACTGGTATTCTTATTTTAATAGTCTTAGAATAGTAAAGCTCAAATTGACTCAGTAAAACTGTAGTTATAAAATACTGTGAAATATAATTTATTGCTTTAGTGAATAAAGGTTTATGATTTTTCTAGTTTTTATTTTATTTTTCATTGACAATACTTTTATAATTGTATAAAGGTCCTTATCTTTCATATTTTTCCTGACTTAATTGGTCTATTTTATCATCCAGTGGACTACATTTAACCCTGCCACTTATTTTTCAAATTTATTTATTTATGAGACCAGCAGTTAGCGTAATGGCTATGTTGCTAGAGTCCCATCTAGTCGACCATGGTTTGAGTCCCAGGCCCTGTGGCTTAAACTCACGCCATGTGCGTGTGCATGCGTGCCCAAAATCATGATGGGGTGGGGGAAAGGATTGTGATATGACCATGTCCCATCTGAGGAGGCTTTCTGTCCCTTTGTCTCTGCCTCCTCCCACCTTGGCAATGAAAACAAAGTATCTGTAACCTTCTTCCCATGAAGGATTAACTACTAAGGAATTTCTGTCCTGCTGTTAACATGACAGCTGGCAAAACAACTTATTTTAGGTATGCGGTAGTACTCAGTGCAGAACAGTGGCATCTTTCTACCTTCTGATCTTGCATAGTTTTTATTTCTTATATACCTCAGGGGGTCAGAGGTGGTGTGGTGGTTTAGGTGCTGGACTCCCACATGGCTCACTGTGATTCAAGTCCTGGACTTGGCAGCTTGTTCTCTCTCTCTCTCTCTCTCTCTGGTGAGCTCATATGCCCTATAGCAAATTGAAAATAACAATAATAATAATAATTATTATTATTATAGGGCCAGCAGGTGGTATGGTGGTTAAGGTGCTGGACTCCTGCATGGCCGACCATGGATCAAGTCCTGGACTTGGTGGCTTGCTCTCTTTCTCCCTCTCTCCTTTTATTTATTAAAAAATAAATAAGTGCACATGCCTTATAACAATTTTTTAAAAATAAATAAAATTATAAATAAATAAAATTAAATAAATAATTTAAAAAGTTTATTTCTAAAAAATATACTTCACAAATGTATCGAAGTTTAAGGGTAGGGAAGGCAGTTTTAAGACAGATAAAATATCCTCTCACCACAAATGAAGCCTTAAACACACGAGCTCAGCTAAGGACTTAACATAAGACAGAGCTATTACTGCTCCCAAGCGTTTGGCTCACACTCGGTGAGCGTTTCTCATGGCTTAGAGCTCTTTGCATCTTAGTGTGTTCTGAAATAGTTCTTAAGAATATATATTTGCCTGGAGTGATTCCGTCCTGCGCGGCTGTTTTCGGGAGCCGTAGTCGTTTACCTCCGTCCGCCTTCTCGCCCACCCAAGTGCGTGCCACCACCCCATGGAAGATTCGATGGACATGGACATGAGCCCCCCGAGGCCCCAGAACTATCTTTTCGGTTGTGAACTAAAGGCCGACAAAGATTATCACTTTAAAGTGGATAATGATGAAAGTGAACACCAGTTATCTTTAAGAACAGTTAGTTTAGGGGCTGGTGCAAAGGATGTATTGCACATTGTTGAAGCAGAGGCAATGAATTATGAAGGCAGACCAATCACAGTAGCACTGGCAACACTGAGAATGTCTGTACAGCCAACGGTTTCCCTTGGGGGCTTTGAAATAACACCGCTTGTGGTCTTAAGGTTGAAGTGTGGTTCAGGGCCTGTGCATATTAGTGGACAGCACTTAGTAGCTGTGGAGGAAGATGCAGAGTCAGAAGAAGAAGAGGAAGAGGACGTGAAACTCTTAAGTATATCTGGAAAGTGATCTGCCCCTGGAGGTGGAAGCAAGGTTCCACAGAAAAAAGTAAAACTTGCTGCTGACGAAGATGATGACGATGAAGATGATGATGATGATGATGATTTTGAAGATGAGGAAACAGAAGAAAAACCTCCAGTGAAGAAATCTATACGAGATACTCCTGGCAAAAATGCTCAAAAATCAAACCAGAAC